TTGGTAATTCTAGCGAGACTCTACTTCGATCGTCATCGAAAAAATAATAATATCTTGACAAGCGTAGTATTCTTTCTAATTAATATATATCGTAAATACACATTATTTACCGTAATAAGTCATCTTTTCTCGATTAAGAATATCAAATAGAAATCGTTATTTAGTTTAGCCACAGTATTATTATCCCGGCATCGTATTGTAATAATGTTTTTCTTTTTTATATTCTTATAAATCTTAGTCCAATTCTTAGTCCTACGGAATGACAATACATGAGTGTTATCACGGCCTTACATGATAACGTGATGTTATGTATATAGGTACCAGATATTAGCTACTATCTGATAGGACGATCGTTTATATGCTACTGCATTTACGTAAAAAGATACGAGACGATTTCTATGTATTCAGCATACGGATCCCGAATCTATGAAAGAAAAAACTCCGAGCAGTTCCCGGGATTTTTGACCCGTATGTAGGTTTAACAGGCGCTTTGCCGATCTACGTCACTGTACACACATGTACCGGTCGTGTTTCTCTACCTGCCCAGCCAAATCTGATAAGAAATTGTTAGTGCAGTTTTAGATGCACATTCTAGTATAGAACCCATATAGAACCCACTGCAGTTCTAGACAGGCCAAGATCTTTTATAAGATTGTAAAGAGCTTTCATTGGTACACCTCTCGCTTCCACTTCACCCACATGTAAAGTAGCAAAATATTTCGTTAATTCGTCTATTCGTTCGTAAAAATATATATAAAACTAGCTGTTCGTCCGCGTGGAATTTTACTTTATTTTTCTAATATAAAAGTAGCCTAAGTTACTCTTTATTACATCAGCTACCTGCCAAAAAATGGTCCGTTAAAATCGGTCCAATCATTTCAGAGATTAGGCGGAACAAACAGACCGATAGACAGACAGATAAAAATTATGAAAAATGTTATTTTGGTATATGTACCGTATATACATATATTCATATGCATGTAGTAAAAACTGTTATTTCAATATTACAAGCAGACACTACAATTATATTTATATGTATATATAACATAAATATAAAATTTCATGATGATTATTTAATCTGTTAATACGTTAAAGCGATACAAACAAACAAAGTCATTTTCGTATTTGCAATATTAATTAAGATTACATTGTGGTTTTGCAAGGGACCCATCTCAGGATCTACTAGAGGAAAACGTCGACACTGGTGTTTGATAATGTCATCCGTGGATTAGCTACGTTTGTTGTGGTATTAACAAATAAAATATAATAATAATGGCGCAGGACAATTCTAACCGGAGAATTCATATATCTAGTCTCAATCTAAACATAACTTGTTATATAGAAATACTCAATACATATTTTTTATACATAAACATAGTACATACAACAACACTCGGACCAAAACTGACAAATCTTATACATTAATACATTGTGCGAGGATTAGAACCTACGACCACCATCACTAGGCCGCTAGACCACTGAGGGCGTCATCAAATGAAATGAGACAGTATTCTGGTACCCTCTGCTTAGCTAGAAACTAGATGGCTTTTTGTGAATTTTTATTTGTTTATTTTATTTAAGCTTTGCATTCCATAGTTTTACAGTAAGCAGTTGGTAAATAGTTAAATTCAAACTAGGTCAATTATAGACCCTATTGGGCACAGCGGATGAGAAGAGAGGAGGACAAGTTCATTCTTATATAATTATAAAATCGTCTATTTACTAAAAAATAATAACATCTAATTCACATAATTATTATTAAATATGATATTACTAAAATATTAATAATACACATCTTTTAAGTTATTATTAGACAGTATATATCTCTATTATGTACAATTACTATACCACGGGACTAAACACGTGTCAAAGTAACACGTGACTCACGAAATTAGATTTACATACATTTTACGGTATCCTACAATGAGAATTATTCGATTCTGAAGTAGTTTGATAGATTGTTATCTAGTTTAGAAGTTAATTCACCGCTCTATAACGAAATGCCTCAAATCTCAGTATATTATTAATAATAATAATTATATGCATCGGCTTAGATAATCAGTATAACCTTCTTTATAATTTTTATATTAAATATTATTTATGTTTACTTTAATATTCTTTAATATTTTAATATTTTTGTTGTAATTTACACCACCTATTATTAGTATATTTCTTATTTTTATGTTCATTTCGATAGTTTATTTTAAAAATGTATATAGATCTGGTGCAATAAGGAGTATAAAAAAGAAATATTTTCCTTATTTAAGTGTAAATAATAGTAGTCAGTCAATTTTTGGGACTTGTATCCGCGACTATCAGAAGCATATATTTGGATGTACATATTGTTAATAAAATGTATACATTATTGAATAAAGAAAACTCTATTTCTCACAGATTTATAGGTACTACTTTTCTCTTGGCTCATTTTTCATTTTTACTTGATACACTGCCTCCTATTTTTCTTCTTCATTAATTCATTCCATATGTCCAAACCGATATAATATTCTATTCTCTATCCATTGACGTAAGCTTAGGTTACGCCATGTCATGAGCGAAATGTAAACAATTTGATACCTTGTCAAAATGGCCATTTATGAGAATGCATTTATTTATTTATTTATTCTATTGCAAACAAAAATCTATACATGGCGGACTTAATGCCTGATGGCATTCTCTATCAGTCAATCGTCGCGTTGATCAGAAATAATAAGGCATGTTGGATGTACAATAAAATGTTTGGAGATCCAAATATTATCACTGTAACAAAGTAACTACCATAAATAGTTCATAAAAAGTTATTTTTGTATATTATATATATTATTATATTACAAACGCTTCCAGACATGCATTTAAATAACAGATTGACAAGTGTTTCAATACGTGCCTAAAGAAATCAATTCGCAATTCTCAACTTTTAAGTCATCAATATAAATTTCGTATTATAAATTCGTGGTAAGATTTCCCGCAACAAGTTACCAAGTTATGAAGTAAATAACTGGACTAACAATGGAAAAACTTTTCCTACTAAATATACGAGGACTACGAATAGAGATAAATTGAAGTGGGAAAACAAAAACAAATATTACCATTACCAGGTTACCATTTACCATCATGTAAGCCATCATCGTTATTTGCCAATCTAATTACAAAAAAAAAATATTAAAAATAATCTTTATTCAAATAAACCTAAAATAAGTACTGTTCATATTTTCTTTTCCAGCACTCTTTCAGAAAGCAGATTCATCACAAGGAGAACAAGTGAAGAAAAACTTATATGTTGCTCTTTTAAATAAATGAGGCATGGAAGAATTTCTTTATTCATTCCAAGAGTACAAACCGACTAAATTATTCTCATTTAATATCTGTCATGTTTTAATTTAAATCAATTCCTAATAATCCATCTTATTAATTATAATAATGAATAATATATACTACTACATTTAGACGCTCCAAGAATCCACAAATTAGAATAGTGAATGTAATATATGTACATATCGCATACCGAATAATAATACAGGCACATCTAACAGCAATAAAGGACTAACACAAAGTTTTCAAATTTTGGAAAATCCACCTTACATATTTAAGTCTAAAGTCTAATTTCTATCATTTGAAATATATGATTTAATACATCATTTTATTAAGTATGTGTATAATACTTGATGTAAATCTATTACTTGTCTAATTAGTTGGATCTAGATTTAAGATAGAAACGTTTACATACGAAGAGGGAAGGGGGCTGTCATTGTAGCAACTAGCAACATAGTATTTTATATATATATATTAATTCTAAGTTTCTGTAGATAATTCGTTCCATACATATGATTAAACAGCGGTTTTATTCTAATCTACAAGTATATACTACATTAGTCATGGGGACTAGTCTTAAAATTTTTGACAGGAATTATCTTTCATTTCTGAAAAGGTAATTTACTTTTTAAAAATATCTATATTTTTTTTCCACACCAATGTTTATGAATACTATTTGTTTTGCACGATTTTGAAAATGGACTACTATTTTTCAGTTATCTGTTTGCGGTTGATACGTAAACACACGTCAATGAATAGAAAAATATTCAAACCTTTATAAAGAATGATTGACGTTGGAAAAATCCAATACTGATGGGTAAGATGTTATTTCTACCATGCTAGGTTTAACACTAACACACAAAGGAATGTGTATTACTAAAAAAAATAATTTTGGAAAATTGGTTTTAGCTTGCTCTATCCTGTGACGGTACTTACGTAAATTCAAGTAAAGATTATATTATGTATTATATTATGATTTTTCTGAGCACCAAATTTTTACCAAAAATATTATCCTCTCATTCTTATACTGCTGAATTGATAGAGATGAAAATTAGTATAGTTATAGATGGAAACTGGATACTGGACTACATTTTTCTAGTGCATCGCTAATTTGGCTAAAATAATATCCTAAAAAGGTTGTCAAAATAAACAATAATGCGAGCGAAACCATGGATATAAGCTAGTTTATGATCTCATATCTTATTCATGCACCTCAAATTCACATAAGTAATACATTATCCTTGCTATAAGAATCTAAACATCCTCTTTCAATTGCTACACGAATTTACAACCTACAGTAACGAAATGGGCCATTGGGGATTTAGAAATAAAAATTATGAACACATACATTTCTACATCTTTCCAGCCAAATGTCCAAATGGGCGATTCAGCATTATATACCGCAACAGTAGGGCTGGCAATCATGAAACATTTAGTCTCGTAGGAAGAAGTAAAAAATCTAGTCAAATAATGAAAAGATGTACGAGACGTTGTCATATTCTGACCGATTTCTGTCGGTCAAAATTTCATACAAACGTATGCGAGGATGAAAATGTACTCATTTAGAATACTAAACATTTCGTACTTGTACGAGGATTCTAGTTCTATAGACATCCCTGTCGCAACAGATAAATTTTCAGCCAAGTGCCGCGATAGCGACTAACGTACATCCACCAGTCGTGTTTCAGAAGTTGTCGGGACTACACGGCTGCTCTTGAAACTCTATCCCTGCATACGATACTGATACAATACGCAAAACTTTTATTTCGAAATTTAAATTTCAAATAAATACTAGTCGATTGATGTTTTAATATTATAACGATTAAAAAAACTGGTTGTCATATATATTTTGTTTCCGTGACTGAATTCGAATTTAGAAAATTTATTTTTAATTTTTCTTTTTTAAAATGACACTGGTGCAGTGGTCAGTGGTTATTCGATGAATAAAAAAGTGTTTGTCTATGAAAATAGGGGGGTTGGAGACTGTTGATCATAATGACTCGTGGTCTAAAGACCAGTCTTCGTGTTCTGGTGATAATATAAACTGGACGTTATGCTACACACACATAAAGCGGATAGTAACCATCCTCATGCCTTTTTATGATGATATGGTAAGTATTTTTTTTTAATATATACACAGCATTAAAAATTAATACGCATTCGCAATTTCAGAATAAAATGGTGCGTAAAGAATTTTCCAAGAATAATATTGACGCAATTATATATTCCGTAATTGTGAACTTTTTTCCGCAAACATTTGTATGAATAGATTAATATTAGGCTATTTGTTTTCGCGGCGTATTTTTGGCTTAGACATTTATTGTTTACTTGAGTAAAAAACTACAGAACTACGTATTACATTTTCTTTCATTATTTTTTTGTACGTCACATTTATACTTGAATTAATAATTTAATTAAAAAAATTACAAATAATTAAATCTTAAATTAATTAAAAACAATATATATAAACACATAAATGCGGAATACTCTAATACAATATAGGTGTTTTCATAATTTGAAAAAAAATTATTAATTAAAGAAATTCTCTAGTGTTAGCTCGATAAAACAAAATTAAGTTTTGTTTAATAACAAACCCATCCATTATTACATATTTTAAGCAACTTATCTTTTTTCAATATTTATTTTATTGACTAGATGTTTAACTAATTATAGAGCTATATTAACTTTATTTATTTTATAACAAATAAAAAAGTATTTGCTGCCGAACCAACCATTGTAATAGTTTTTTTATGTATTATATATTTTATTCATAGCTTTTTTTTTGTAATGAAAAATCTTTATACAATGTTTTTTTCTCCTGGAACTAAGCACATGCATGCATTACCTTACTAAGGGATGTGTCTTACTTTAAAACCTGCTAAATTCAGTCCTCTGTAACAGGATCAAAACTAGCAACAAAGCCGCATGTCATATATGACGAGAGCTTTACTGTTTACGCCTAACTTCAAAATAAGGAAATATAGTATGTAATATAGTTCCTCATCAGGGTTGCCGACATAAAAACATTTAGACTCATAGAAAAAATAAAAAATATAATAAAATCTGGTACTCAATTTTGAACTCTAACCTTATATTATTTAGACAAATTTGAGTAAGTAAAAATTTCGTGGAAACTTGTACAAGAATGAAAATGTGCTCATAATGTTGGCATCCCTGTTCCTCATAAATACAAGAGCGTGCCTGAAGTATAGTGATAAGCACAAACTGGCATGTAACAACTAATTGTGACAGGATAAGCCTATACGAATATTTAAAGGTCTCCATTAGACTGCCATGTGCGGGCCGTAATATAATAATAATAATAACCCTCGATAATTAACAGATATTGCCATAAAAAATATACTAGGTCCAAATATTTCTAATATACTAGGTATACTACAATATTAACAACATTAATCTAAGACTCCTACTATTTGGGAAAAGAATCACACAAATACACGAAAAATACAGACACTCTGACATTTATGACGATTTTTCGTGTACTACCTGATAAAACTTTTGTAAAACTCTTTTCATTTTTAATTGTATTACTCTGTACCAATAAAACATAAAAAGATTTCCTTTGCCTTTGGTGATAGATAAAAAAATACATACATGTCATAACTGTGACGAGCCGTTGTAACTCCAGCTGGTGCAATATTACACCGAGAGAAAATCATTTTCCGACGGTGGGGATGTATTGTAGCTTTTATATATAAATATGTAAAGTCGCTTTTTGACAATCCATCGTTAATATTCATGAAGATATGTATAAAGGAAGGGGAGTATCTGACAATGTATTTTGTGTACTTTTTTAAATATATGAATATGGTATGATGCATCCATCTCAACTAAAGGTACACTAATGTAAGCTGATGAGGCACAAGTACCAGATGATAGGGATACATTTCCATATATAGACATATTCCAGTTGCATATACATAGTCCATTGTGGCGAAAAGCAGATGGTTTCCAGGAGGAGCGACGTGAAGGTCGTCTTGATAAGAATAGAATAGAATAGATTACAAAATCATTTATTCAAATAAACTTACATTGAAGCACTTTTGAATAGTCATTACATTTTTTTTATCTACCGCTCATTCGGAAAGCTTTCTCATCACAAGAAGGACGAGCAAGAAACTTGCGTGTTGCTCTTTTAAATAATTTTACTATTACTTTACATTTTTAAGTTTAAATGTGTGAATACAAACCACCAATTAACATTAATTCAATTAAATACTCAAATAGAAAAAATATTGAATATATAACTGGTTAAACAATTAATAAGAGGAAATCAGTCATAGTGATCAGAGCAGACTTGTCCCTACAAGCAGATAAGGTATAATGCCGTTAAATTCCATTTTTTTGCCACTTTGTATTAAATTTCATTTTTATTTATTTATTATGTACGCTATCAGTTCAAGAAATCATCCTGATTAATTCCTAAACTTCTCCCGATGCGTTATCACAGAATCCATCCTTTATTGATAGCAAAAATTGCAATTAACAATTTTCCATCATCATTGGTGATAATGAATGAACAATGACGTCAAATTGTTTACAAAAAATATTCATATAATTCCTTACATTTATTTTCCTTTTTTGGTACATTGTTTTTACAATATTTAGATCGCTAATTGTCAAATTTAGTATACCGTTGCAAAGTCTGGTTTTAAAAAATATAGCGGTCCGAGATTATTCCAAATTGCACTTTATCACACGAAAACAAAGCCTCATTTAGCTTAGATTTATTGTTTTATGGGCTATAAAATGGCAACGAGTATCAAAATAAATACGTTTTAACATATGGTCTATTTCATACCATTCTGATCCGAAAAATATGATTTAATGGATTATTTTTTTAACTTCAACAGGATTTGCAAACAACTTAATGGAACTCTTGTCAGTACAAATATCACAAAATGAATATATGGTGCCTCATGGATTGCATTTTAGCTGTCTAAAGAGTTATATAATTAATTTCACAACTACATCGTTCACATTTACAAAGCAAATTGCCTGGCAGTTGGAATAAGTGAGATATACAAAGTCTAAAACTTGTTTTAATACTACAGTAATTACACTGTTGGCTCGTAGCCCAAAAGTTAGGGTTATCGTCACAACACATGAAGCGACATGCTTGCAAAATGTCATTGGAGAAATAAACTTTGCATACAGTTATGGGTATCTCAGTCTTACTTGTTTCTGACGCCAAGAAACTTGCTTTATGACGGTTGAAAGATGATGGACGAGAAATAACACCTTAATTTATAGTAATAGGATACAAAAGGCAGTCTTATCGCTCATGCAATCGCTTCCAGACAACCTTTAGGTAGAGACAAAAGGTGGCGCTAGAATTCGTAACGTTTTATTTCCGTTCCGTGTCTGATGGCTCCATTGAAAATGGCTGTGGTATAACTTCGTTTCGGAGTAGGAGTCACATTCAGCGTTACCAGTATGTCTTAAGTCTTGAGCTATTTAGTGTATCATCACGTGACACATGCCGTGATTGTCCATATGACCACAGTCCTGTTTACTGTAGACAATACAGACGACACCAAAAACCGAATATATCAGCGCTGGATAATTATGCTGTTGGGTCCTAGCCCAAAAGGTAGGGTTGTCACTTGTATCATTCTGAACTTAACAAGGGACATTTGCCAAATGTCATTTAGGCATTTTAAGTCCTATTGGCTTGGAATTCTAAAATTGAATATTGGTGAATTAATACACCAATAATAGACACACGATTTAAAAATACTAATCAACATGCATAATTAAAAGATAGTTTCGTGTAAAATGCAATTTCAATAAAAAAATTGTTATTATTGATGTACTTATGTAATGGTTTTCTTTCGTCAACTTTTTAAAATTTAAAATGTATTTAATCATAGTCCAATATTTCTTTGCTATTTATTACTAGCTATCACCAGCAACTTTGTCTGCTTTTTTTGACACAAAAGATAGCTCATGTTCGGTCTTATAAAACAATTTTATCCTCATCGTAAAATGGTAACAAATAGCCAGACTGACAAAACTTTTGCATATATATAACATTAGCATGGATTCTCATTGAGGTTTCTACTGACAACCCTAACTTTAGGGTCGGTCAATCGAAAATAATAGCTCGATTCAGCAAACACCCTATCTTGAGGTTAGTCTTTTCGTATAACCCAATCTAAAGCCACCGTAACAACAACGGATGTACGGACTAAGTAATTAAATAAGAACTTCCTCGTCTCGATTTAAGCATTGTTGCATAGCCTCAAGTATTTTAGTAACTTGAATAAATTAATGGACGTCTCAAAAAGTAAATTTCCATTATGTCGAGTCGGTTCCGAGCTCAAATGACGCTGTCACTTCCATCACGGTAAATAAATGTTGAAATTTTCTTAAAATGAACGAAAAATATTTTATGTCTTCACTCCGCATAAAAAAGTGAGTTCAATCAGCACAATTAGTATGAAAATAACAAGAGAGCCAATCAGTTCTGAAAAGCACAGTATAGTTAAATAATACTATATATATAATACAGGCATGAAATGGTTCTTTCAATAGTATATTGAAAATTATGACGTTTGCACTATGGTCGACATTCTTATGAATGAGTGTTACTTGTAGTGTGTGTAGTGTGTGTGTATTCAATTTACTGTGGTATTAATACTTATAATTGTATAGCTTAGTTGAATTTTATTCTTTTGTGTTGTTTAGTACTTTGTCTTGGAGACAAGATCATGAACATCTAATGTTTTATAATTTTTACTGAAAAGACCACCAGCCAAGTTTCTATGCTCTTATCTGAAGCTGCATTTCAATATATTCAAATAATATAAAAAATATTATTCAAATATACTTAAAATTTAATTTATTTTAATAATGATAATTTCTATTCTATTTTTAAAACAGTTACTAATACTGCCTACATTAAATTTCTTTTATCTTATCTGAAGCTGCATTTCAATATATTCAAATAATATAAAAAATATTATTCAAATATATTTAAAATTTAATTTATTTTAATAATGATAATTTCTATTCTATTTTTAAAGCAGTTACGAATACTGCCTACATTAAGTTTCTTTGATTTTATCTGAAGCTGCATTTCAATATG